TGGACTTCATGTTCTGGTGGAGGAGATAAAGAAGCACCATAGAAACGAACAGAAGCACGTAATACAAAGGCAAGAAGTGATAGGTGCTATGAAAAAAGTGAACGAGCAGGGAGACAGGAGATGCTGAAGCTTTAGATGAGGATGTCTCTAATGGGTGCTGTCTTGGCAGAGAGCTGGGAAGAAGGGGGCAAGCCACATGGGCATCTGGGGTGCGAATTTTCCAGGCAAAGGAAGGACAGGCGTGAAGCCTGAGGAGGGAGCATGCTGCATGCGTGGAAGGAGGAGCCAGGTGGCCAGTGAGTTAGGAGCGGGAACCTCAGGAAGCAAGGGGGTCTGGGCCAGAGCGTACTGAATCTCCCAGCCCAGGATGAGGGTCTGGACCGGAGGGTTCTGAGAGGGAAGGTGCCCTGGCCATTCTAATTCTACCCTCTAACACCTTTGTTTTCTCAATCTCCTCTCATCTCTGAGCAAGCAGACCAGGAGTAATTTGCTTGGTCTTTATGTTCTACCTCCTGATCTCCCAAACATGGTTATGAGGCACCTTTTCAATTCAGCTAGGTCCCACTTTTAGAGCCAGAATGATACTTTAAAAGAATCAGACACAGATAAATCAAGAGTTCTTCTTCCAGCCACTAATTCCAAGTAAGCCTTGACATGTACCAGCCTTGAGGGATGTAACCACCAACCAGGTAGCCCCCGCTTTTCGGTAATACGCATTCGAGATGTGCAATTCCCTTAGCAACTTCCTCAGCTTTTTCACATGACTTTATTTTTGTCCTTAGAAATTTCACGCTGTGCATTTGCCATGAGCTTCACCAACCTTCTCGGGGATGCTCTAACTGCTTGTCCATCTGTGTGAGCTACAGTGCTAGGCTCAGGGAACCTGCAGACCTAGCCTTGTTTTTAGAGTGTTGGATGCCTTTCAGGAGGCTGGTCGAGCGCCTCTCAGCCCAGCTGAAGGGGGGTCATCACATCCAGGGGGAGGTGCACAAAGGCAGCCCAACAGCCTAGGCTGGGATGAAGGGAAACCTCAAATCTCTCTTTAGACAACTCATTAAAGTTCCCAGTGTGACAGATGGGAGCCTGGGACAGCTCGGACAGGGACATTCTCTCTTCTTCTAGACCTGGTGTGAGACCAACCCCTTGGAGAACCTCATGCCACCCTCAGTGGTAGAAAATGCATCCACTTCTTGATAACAGCTATTCATTCTACGTGCACTTCCGGTTTGTTTGCTTGTTTAGAAGAAAATTGTAGTGGGTTGAATGTGGCCTTCAAAACATATGTTCACATCCCATCCTTCATAAACCCACGAATATGACCTTGTTTGGACAAAGGGTCCTTGCAGATGTAATTAAGTTAAGGATCCCAAGACAAGATCTAGTGTGAGCTTTAAATCCGATGACTAATGTCCTTATAAGAAGAAAAAGGCAGAGGGAGATGTGAGTCCCAGACACACAGAGGGAAGAAGGCCATATGAACGTGGAAACAGAGATTGGGGAAGTGCAGCTTCAAGCCAAGAGGTCACCAGAAGCTGAAAGAGGCAAAGGTGGGCTCTCCCCTGGAGCCTCCGGAGGGAGTGTGGTCCTGACAGCTCCTTCTCACCTTCACTGTAGACATCTGGGCCCCACAACCATGAGGGAATCCATTTCCGTTGATTTTAGCTACCATGTCTGTGGTAATTTCTTAGCAGACTAATATAGGGACCTAAAATTCAGGCGTGTCCTGAATATGTTTTTCCTGACAAACTCCAGAAAAAGGGAAGGGGATAGCTCTCACCCCAATATACCAATATGAGACTCTGTGAGGACCATTCTGGAAGGTCTCACCCCTCCCTTGCCCCAGGTTCTGGAGTCAGCCTCTGGATCCTGATATTCTCCTCTTCCCTCTCCTCTTCATTCACCCACGATGTCAGAAACACTTTCGGTTTGTTTTCCATTTTACATGTTATCTTTAAAAATTACTTTTAATACACAGGTATTCCAACAAAACAATTTATGAGCTTTTGTACACATGCCCATGCTACAAAATGATTAATTGAGCGTTGTATGTTTTTATCAAAGGAAACAACGCAAAGATTTCTCCAAAGTCCTGTTTGACTAAAGATGATTAATTTTAATTTTCACATGAGCGGCATAATGCTATTAATCATTTAATATGTTTAATCATAATCTCTGTAATTCCTAATTAGGTTTATTAAGCTGAAACATCCAGCAGTTATGTACAAATCCAAATCTAAGTTTCTTTCTCGGGATGAGAAGGAGCTTGTTTTAATTTGCATTTGAACAGCAACCTGTAACTGGAGGGAAGAAATGGGCTGTAAGCTGGGGTCTCACCTGCTGTGTCTGCAAACCTAGAGTCTTAGGTCAGAGTACTAAGACCCCAAGTGCACGATTCAAGGACATCTCTGGACCTTGGTTGTGTAACCAAACCTCATGTTACCAGCAGAGAAAACACAGTTCCCTGCTCTGTTTGGGCGTGGGTGTTATAATATTGTATTTGACTGTCACTTGAAGATGCAAAGTGGACCGTTCATTCATCCTTCATTCATTACTTTATTGATACACTCATAATACTTTCACCTGTTCAGTCAGTGACTCAACCAGCCATCTGACCTGCGTTTACTGTTTGTCGGCCATGGCTCAGCCCCATTGTCTCATGCTGGTCACACCACACCCCGCGATGATCCGTAAGTGGCTCCTCTTAGTTTTTATCATGAAATATACTTTTGCTCTGCACACAGGGCCCTTTGTGATATAACCCCCACACACCCCCACACTGTGCTGTTCTGTCTGCCCTTCCTTCATGTGCGCCCACCGACCATGACGCTAAGGGGCCCATGTACTCCCCTGAATCCAGAACCTGATTTCACCTCTGCGTCTTTACCTGTGCCTTGCCCTCTGTTGGTACAGCGTCAGCCCCCTTCATCCCTTCTGTTAGACATCTCCCACTGAAAACGTAACCTCCAGAATTGGCAGGGCTCCCAGAACATCCAGCTGTGCGGCATGTCCCTGATTTAAGTTTACTCAGCCCTCTGTGACTCACTCTGATCCCAGCCTCACAAATGTCTCTTTCCTTCTTCTTTCTCTTGCACTGAACTGGGAACAACGTGTGTTGGGAGGACTAACTTACGTGTCCAACACATAGTAGTTGCTCAGTAAAAACGTGCTTAACAAGCGAAGGAGAACTTTTCCTTTTTATGATTCCTGAGAGAGGCTTTCTTTCTTCTTGTTTTTGACATTTTAAGAAAAAGTTACCGTCACTCTAAAAAATTCATTGCCTTCCATTTATTGAGTTCATGTGCCAAGAACTCTGCCAAGCTGGCCTATATTACTGCACTAAGTCTTCACAGAGCCTTAGAAGGTGTGCACTATTATTATTATTATTACTCACTTTCCAGGTTAGGAGACTGTCACCATCCTCCTCCTTATTCCACTCCAACAGCACAGACAAAACGACCAAGGGCAGTGTTGACGTTATCATGACGTAACACTTCAAACTTGCAGAGGTCATCCGGTGGGGGTTTTGATTCCAAACTGGCTTGGAAGAGTAGTGTGCCAGCTTCTGGGAAGTCTTGACTTCAAAATGCAATTCAGGGGTTATTAGGAAGGAGAATGCAAATGAAGTCTGTCAATAAATACAAGGATTGGCAAGAAAGTCACTAATTATGGCCATTTTATTGTGGTATATATAATATGTAAACCATATTTATATAAGGCATTTATATTTATATGCATATATAAAATATATTATATATATATATATATTTCACTTGGTGAAGTTGTCTCCTCTGTGTCTTTATTATCTTACACCTGCCTGATTGCATTGATAGTTTTGTCCCAGTTATATGCTTCTAAATTGTTTAAAAGTAGGTGAGGCTGATTCTTCCCTCGTAAATTTGATGGGCTTCCACATAGGTTTTCCATTACGGTTTTGGAGAAGCAAGTAACTGATGTGGATGTGGCATCAACTGCCACCCAGAGGCAATAGATGCTAATTGCAGAGAAAGTATCCAGAAGCATCTCGAGAACCAAGAGTATGGGCGTGGCTATCATGGTACCAAGTGTTACTGTAACTTTCCTGCCTATATATGTGCTGATATAATATCATGTTGTCCGGGCTTTTACTGTGGCAAGAGTGGGAAGCAGAGTAATGAGTTATGCTAATAGCATAGCCTTATCGACACCACTATTGTCCATAGAACGTTCCAGAGATGTTCTAGATCCTCGTTGTCAGACATGGAAACCACTAGCCACAGGTGGCTGTTGAGTACTTGAAATGTGGCTAGTGTGAAGGAAAAACTGGATTTTACATTTTACTTAATTTTAATTCAAATTTAAATAGCCACAGGGGGTCAGCTGTCATGGATAGCAGAGGACTGCACAACCAAGAAACGAGAAGGTAAACCCTTAAAAAAAAATAAAATAAGTAAGTCAATCAGATGGTTACTTGGACTGCAGAACACCAAACAGCCTTCTCAAATGTTTTATTCCATTTGCTAATGTTTTATCTGGACAGTTACAACAATTATGCAGGCGTATCTTAAGATTTGGACACCTTTGATTAAGGGATGCACCCTCTCCTACCTTTAACGACAGGTTAATCAATCAGTCTGATTGCCTGTTAAAACTCCCCAACACCTCCACACCAACTACCCCTCCCCTTGCTTTATTTTTCTCCATAATGCTCTCCTTCTACCAGCTCCATATTTATTTATTAATGAGCTTATTGCCTTCCCCCCACACACCCCCCATAAGAATTATGTTCCGTGGGGGCGGGGAGTTTGTCTGCTTTGCTCACTGCTGAATCCCAGCTCCACCTTGGGCTGTCAGGGAATGTTCAATAAATACTTGTTGAATAAACGAATGAATGGATGACCCAGCAGCTCCTTCCTTGTCCTTGTTCCTTTGTTCCAGCATTTTCTTACCATTTAGGAGAAGCTAAAGCACTTTGGAAAGAGCACACAGGTCCACTCATAGCCTCTTTACTCTTGTCCTTTTAGCAGACAGATGACGCGGCACCAACGGATGGCCAGCCCCAGACACAACCTTCTGAAAACACAGAAAACAAGTCCCAGCCCAAGCGGCTGCATGTCTCCAACATCCCCTTCAGGTTCCGGGATCCGGACCTCCGACAAATGTTTGGCGTAAGTAGAGCGTTTCTCCTCTGCAGTGTCCGCACTGGGGTCCCCAGAGCCCTTTCCTCCTCATGTAAGTTCTGGTATTTACACAACACAAAAGTTCGATGTTTACATAGGGAGGGAAAAAGGCATTTTAGATCCTAGTCAGTGGGTATATTGTGACCTAAATCTCTTCATGATTTTAGTCTAAATGTCTTTGTATAGGTTCACCATGGTCCCGCTTTGCCAAATGGTCTTCTTCTAATTAGTAACTGGAAAATCAAACAGAAAATGAGCTCCCAGATAAAATAGCATTGAAAGAAGCCCACTGATGATCCCAGATCAAGTGGCCCTGGACCCTATGTCACAGCTGAAATAAACATTTTGTGTCCTTTGGGTTCTTCTCTCTTTCATAGTTGCCAAAGTTATCATGACATATTCCTGCATACCTCACTCTTTCCCAGGCACTGTGCATTTAGATTTCAGAAGCAGCGCTAGAGAATAGTGACTTCTGCATAAAGCTCCATTGAAAAGCAAAACAAAGGAAGCTAGAGATTTCTAAGTCTGACTTGCATCCTGCAGTATACACTCTCCCGCAATTAGTGACGAGGATTCAGAAGTTCTTACTGTGATGTTCTCTGTCACAGATGACAGCCTTGCCCAGCTACCATGATTGAAACCCAGAGCAGGGCAGAAGCCACCATCAACCCAGAGAAAATAGATGATAGGGTTGCTTCCTCATGGGACATGATGACTCAGATTCTTTTTCTGGATGAAATCTTGCACTGTCCATCTTGGGAAGGAATGAGTTAGCCACGTCTTGGGCTCTGAAGGACAAAACTCTGACAGGGCTTAGATATCCTTAGTGGGTGTTTTGTTTTGTTTTGTTTTTTGCAAATGTAGTCAGCCTGTTTGTCCATGACATCCATCCCAGCATTGATGGGAGGTTTCTGTGGATTCCATGAACAGAACTACATCCTTAGCATTTGACTTAGAGTAAAGGTTGGCCGCCTGGAGATTGGTCCTCTAAGAGTTTGTGGATGGATGCAAGTATTACAGAAGGAATAAGAAGGGGCCAAATTTTAATGCCAAACCCTGGGCCAAGTAGACCTCATTCCCCCTATGCAAAGGGATGCTCTGGTTCATGACTGCGATTGTGGGGTTAGCTGGTATGCACCTTCTATTTCTTTACCATGCATGATGTTTATCAAGTCCACATCTGACACAAAGGCAGAGCTAGCGTCCTAATATTCAGATACCCAGACTTGAATCCTGACATTTCAGAGGAAAAGGTCAGCTTCTGCACTTTTATCTCTCTTGTTTGGTAATAACCTTGAGTTGAGCCCTCTAACTCTTGCAGAGTAGAGATACCCTCGGGCACTCTCAGGTCAAAGATGACTTTGAAAAGTGCAGAGCATTCAAAGTGAAAGTGGAGGTTAAGTGTGTATAAAGCAGTGAGACCAGGTTTGAATGATGGGCAGCCAAAGGAATTAGATTCCTCTTGCCACGTCAGGTTAGAAAGTCTTGCTCCGCGGTCCATCTTTACTCATCAGGTGTCACTGGGAGGTTGGCTTTGAATTTGGCCCTCTTAATGATCATCCTGGTGCTCTTTTATGGTGTCACTCACTGCAGCCCACCCTCGCTCCCAACCCCGAGGGCGCTCTTCCCTCCCTGGTCTTCTCCGTTATCTTGAAAGTCACCGGAGGGCTACACAGCCAAGTCAGAGAGGTATTGGAAATAATCCACAGCTGGAACTCCCAAAGACGGCATCCTGCTTGCATGGATATCTGAGCCTCTCTTTTCTTACAGGACGAGGGCAAGTGGTGCACAGCAAGGTCTTGCCAAATATTGAACGTACTACCCAGTTGTCAAACCATGATCAAAATCCACTGGTTTCAGAGCCAGTTTTTGTAAAAGTAAAGATTTCTAAGCAACTGACATCGACTTGACCAGATGATAGATACGCTTAGTATCAATTAAGAAAATGTGGCATACATTTCAGTAATATTGAAATTAATTTCGTTCATCACAAACAGCATCTGTGTTCGTTTTAAAAGTATGCAAGATTTTTTTTTATGAGTTTCGGCTATAAAAATTTGGGGGCACATACAGATTCCTGGATTCTTTGTAATAATGCTGAGGCCTCCTTGGTTTACAACCACTGTCCTGAAGAAATGGAACTTAAATACTAAAAATCTGTTCTTCCCAACCAAGCATTGGTGGTGGCAATCCCATTCTGGTTATATGATTCATTTAGTGGCAAGAATCACATTGAAAGGCATCTGTAAACATTCTGATTGGCTCCCCACACTCCAGTTGAGAGAATTAAGTGTGGTTTCTTCTTGTAGGTCATACTTACTGTAAGAAATGACATTTTGATTCCAATTAGGTCTTTTCCAAGTCATCTGGACATGAGATCTCTTCTCTCCTTTTATTGCTATATTTTGCCTTTGCCTCTTCACTTTGGCTGGGGCTAGAATGGGGGTTATTACAGAGAAAAACCCTCTCAAAGATTTTGGGCTTTTCTCCTTTATTTCTTTTGTTAAATGCAGCCATGGGGATTTGAAACCCAAACCAAAACAAGACAAAAAAGGAAGCTCCTTTCTCCAGCTGCCTAAAACCTAGCTGGGCTCGTAACAACTTTTGCAACCATTAATAATTCAGAAGTTTGCAATTTCTGCAGGCCTAATGGTCACTGCAGGTGCCTCACATATTTGTGTTTAATTTGTGGCTTCAGGGCCCATTCGTTGTGATTCTGGTTACCTTTACTCCACCATGTTCTTCAGTACTTGAAATTCTTTCCTTCTCCTCCTTTGAAAGCATTCGTTCTAGTGTTTGGCATTAAATCTTCTAACTATTCATAGATTTTCTTTCCTTCCTTCCTTCCTTCCTGTCAAGGTGGAACATTCCTTGGTCAAGAAGTTACATGACCACAGTAGAGCCCAGAGTCTTTTTACAACACCAGTTGGGGCATGAGTGAACAGATCAGAGGTGTTGGTTCTAGATGTTTCCCTGAAAGAAATATTGGTTCTGGCCTGGCTACTTCATTCTTGAGCTCTGTCCTCTTTTCAGGGAGCATTCATGAGGGTGTGCATCCTTTATGTTTGAAATGTTAATGATCCCATGAAAGGAATGGGTGGATTTCCACCAAATTGATTATAATGGCTTGCTCTTGGACAGAATGGTTCTTTAACCTAACATTTAAAATTTACACATATCTGGGTTTTGGGTGAGAGAGGTGGTTATAATATATCCAGACCACTGACATGACACATTGCATTATAGAACTGTTTTCAGAAGTAGCTACTCATCAAGTGTAGGATTCAAATTTGCACAATACCCTTGTTGACATCACAGCCTTGCTTTTGTAATCAAAAGCCTTGCTTTTGATAGAGACCCTCTGGGTATGACTATGATCTATGGAAGTCACTCATTATTGTCACCCCAAAACAGACCACATGACTTTCAGAACATACAAAAGAAGCTTTCACGGTCACCTTTTTAGTAATAATATAGAGATGCCTGAACCTTTGGCGTTAATGCCAAATTCTATGCACCGTGATGTTATAATGAGTGAAGCCTTTTTTTTTTTGGACCTGGCATGGTGCCTCCTATTTCTGCATTCCAAACATGAAGCCAACCCTAAGAAAACTGATATGATGCCTTTTCTTCGCCTCTGTGTGTGCTCTTTGAACTAACCTTTACTTTCATGTTTTATGCTGTACCCACGGAGCATCTTCCACAGTTTTTCAGAGAAATATTATTTGATCAGAGAATGTCTCAAAATGCCTGGTATGTATGTGCCCCAGTGCATGCCTAGAAGCTTCCGGATTTTATCCTTGATACCGCTATTGAGACACCTTGCGTGGATCCTGAGACGTTGTCGAATGTGGCGGCACATGGGTGTCGAGCAAACTAATGCGAGTTAAATCTGCGAGTCATGTCTATTTAGACTGCACATGTCCCAGCTGTGTTTACATCATTAGTACCCAACTTCCCAATTAAACTGTTGATACTATAAATATAGTACGCAACTGTCTTAGGAGTGGGGCGCATATCAGTGTTCTTCTCACTGCTCATTTCACTGGCTCTGAGAATCAACCACCCAATGGCAACTGCTAGGGAGGCAAACATTTGAGACCATTTCAGGGCATATGGTGTCATTGTTCCATTTAGGGAATGACACATGCTAGGATTCCTTCTTGATTGGTTGGTTCTGTCTCAGCCAGATCTTGTTTTAAAGGGAGCGTTTTCGTGTTGACTGCTTAGAGAATGTTCCATAGATGACATTTGCTTCATGGTTTTGGGGAGTCCTTTTCAAGCTTCTCTGTTCATAAACATGTGTGCTTTCATGCTCTTAGGCCTGAAATAAACATAATAGCGTCAGTGTGGACTAAATATTCTAAGGAGATTATATCGAAATCACTGCTTCTGTGGACTTCACAAACTGGGGGAGTCTTTACTCTGAAATTCAGTTCACCTTTCAACGGCAAATCCTGCATTCCCCAAATCTGGAAGTTTTCTTCTTCTATTTTTAACGATTTTCTCTGCCCAAATCTAGGGCACTGAAAATGCTCTGTAGAAGAATATTCTCTTGACCAAAAGGAAATTAAGAGTGTCCACAAATTGCAGGGTGAGTTCGCTGTAAGTTTCTTGGTATTTCCATCATACCTGCTGGCAATGTAGTCCTCCCCTCACCTCTCCCAGCTGTTCTTCGTTTCTCCCTATCCTTCTTCTCCGGGAAGATGAGAAGCACAGAAGCACGTCCATCCGCTCAACAAGACAAATTCAACCTGCAGTCCCCTGACCGTGTCCGTATCCTGAGGGGTAGGCACATTTCCATGACATAGCTTTGGGTTTCCTTTTTCTCCTAGTCACAACTACTTTTGTTTCAAGGTTTTGAGCTATTTCTCTCCAAATGGAGTGTGCCTATTTTTTTTTTTCCTGTCTTTCCAAGTAAGGTAAACTTGTTCTAGAGGATAGCCTCTGTCTGTTTCCAATAATTTTTTTTCTCGAATCTTAGTAGG